ATTAAAGTAATCAGTGGCTAATTAAATTAAAATATTTTTTAAAAAAATTGTTGATAGGCGTGTTGATCAACTAATAGGGAGAGACAACTGAATAATAAAATTTTGTACATAAAATAATTGTGTCTAAGTGTGAGGCAGTTACCATTTAATATTTTCTTAACTGAATCGCTACATAATTTTGTAAATGATTTTTGGGGTTGGTTTTTTTATAAACTTTATTTTTATACAGGTTAGTTACATAATTTTCCAACAAATTAGAGTCAATTAATTATGCAATATTAGCGTGTTACTTTCTGATGGGCCTCATGAGTAAGTCCATCTTTCTACTAATGGACCTCTAACGAATATTGGGCTGTTTTGTTTCTAGTGTATTTTATTCAATAAACTTTTCTTATTTGTCCAAACAAAAAAAGGAAACTACATTTAGTTGTAAATATTTTTAGAGAAAATTACGCCAATCCTCAAGAAATAGTTGCAAATATACTGCTATATTATTTTATTAGCAAAATTAAAACAACTACACAAAGAAAGTGCAATTCTGTGAGATTTATTAAAATCATGGGACGAGATAAACTCGACACCTCTCTCTCTCTCTCTTTATAAACCTCCTACATTAAAATTTTAATTGCACATATTTTGAACCAGATCGAGTTTTCATCGATGCCTGTATACATACAATTAATTCGATCGCACAGTTGCCCCAACTCCACCGGCAGACAGTGTCCAGGTGTGCGAGATCTGCTCCACCACGGTCGAGACCACGGGACGCGACAGTGAGGACGAAAAGTCGGGCCAGCGTGAGGAAGAAGATAAAACTGACTTGCTCTATCCCGAGGTGCCGAAGAGTGTTAACGTTCTCAAACACCAACGCACATGAGAATTGTTGGATTAAAATTCACCCGAGGTACTGGTTTTCGAGGAAGAAGAAAGAATGAATTTATTTTTTGGCTGCCTTGCTTTTTTTTGTATGCATCTGTAATTATTATACAAGTTTGACGTGTATAATGTACTTTCAGCATATCTTCAGTATATATCCAGTATATAATGATATATTAGTTTATTTCTGTATTTATATGTACGTATATAATGACTATATATTCAGGGTATCTTTCGTATATAGTCCGTTTATAATCTCTTTTTATCCGGTGCGACAGATCATGACACACATATTGTAACGTCCCAGTCTTTTATTAATAAAGGAAAGACACTAGTTTCCGAGTATAAGCTAGCTCTTATTAATAAATGTTCAGTATTAGTATTCGAGCCTAAGTTATTCAGCTAGTTAAATTCTAAGTTCAACGTTAAGTCGAAAGTATATTCGATTTATTTTATTTATTAACCGAGCCAATTCTAGTAATTAATCTCAGTCCGTTTATTTTTTATAAATGGACATAGTAAGTTTGGGATTAATTATTCCAGTGTTGACGTATTAATCGAATTCGAGAATATTCGATAAATCATCAAAGATAAGTTTCGAGCCTAGTTAGCAAGTCAGTTCTAAGTTCGACTAGTAGTCGATAGAATATCCAGTTATTTATTTTAGTAACCGAATCAATTTCGACAAATAATTCCGATACGTTTATTTTTATAAACGGATATTATTAATTGAGATTAATTATTTTAAGTAGACGTATTATTTCTAGTCTAGATATTCGGATTAATTGCCAAAGACGAATTTCGACTGAAACAGAGCAAGTTTGGTCAAGTTATCTCAGAATCGAGCCGAACCTGTGTGTGTGCTTGGAAATATTCTAAGTAACAAGTAATGTATAGTTCAAGGATTGTATCAATTTAAATAGCACCAAGACTCATTTCATGCGCCAAAGGGTCCGCACTTTCAATTGATGCGCCTAGAATATGTGTTCATTTACTAGGTTATTTGTGCACATGCTAGCTTAAGTCATAGTGTCGTGGCCACTTGCAAGTTTAGTAAGTTTGTTAGTAGAATTTCTAAGGTGATGACACCTCATTTGATGACTAAGCTTCATATATTGCCACTAAGTGATAGTATGTGGTCAAGTGTTCTCATAAGCATCATCTTAAGAGATCAATTTCTTTAAATTACCTATTTATAGCAAACGTGAATAGTAAGGATGAGTTCACCTTATTTACTTAAAATTCCTCCTCAGTTACTTAGTCATAGCCGAGACTAATAAAGAGAAACCCGGGAGAAAAGAAAGCTTGGCTAGGTGCTCTCTTCTATTGCCGAGAGTTTACTTAATTTAAGTGAGGAGAGTTCATTCATTTTCCTTCCATAACCAAGATAGATAGAGTGCCGAGAGTTAGTATCATATTCATATTAAAGCCGAGAGTGAGAATTAGAAGCCAAGTTACTGTAGCTAGCCGTTGTCGAGAGACGACAGAGCCAGTCAACGCGTCCAGTTGCGCAACGCATGTAGCACACATCGGTAGCGCTCGACAGTGCGCAGTCCGTCCACGTGCATCTGGCGCCAGTAGCGCCCCCCGAGTGCAGGCAGCGTCGCCGCACGTGTGTACGCCAGTCGACCCGGCGATGCCCAAATGCACGCTGGAGAATCCAGTAGCACGCCAACGTGCGTAGTCAACCTCGGTACGTTCCCAACAGCACGTCCGAGTGTCCCTTGCCGTCAGGGCTGCCCAGTAGCACCCGAGTGGTACCAGTCGCGCGAGTAGCAATGGTCAGCGTGCTTAGCTGCCTATCCTTGGCGCACAATAGCAGTCGGCAGTGCTCGTGCATGCCACTGTTGATGCTAGTATGCTCGGCAGTGTCTAGTTGCGTATCCTAGTGCCTAGTCGTCATCGGCCGTGCTTAGTAGCAATCGGTGACCATCGCTCGCACTCACGCCAGCGCCTGTCGCGCCCAGTAGTAGCCTGTCACCATTGGCAGTGCTCAGTAGCACGCCAACAAGCCCAGTAGCACGCCAGCGTGTGTAGTCACCCACGGTCGTGCCCCAGCGGCCGGCAGCACCTAGGGCATGCCCAACAACGCCCGGCAGCACCAAACCCGCGCCAACCCACGCGTGCGACCGCGCAGGGCATCAGCAGGCCCTGGGCGGAGTTGAGTCTAGTCAGCCCAAGTCAGCAGTCGATCGCTCGGTCACAACGAGCCGGCGATCCGGCCAGCCAGTGAACCAGCCGGTCTAGACCAGTTTTCCGAGTAATTTATTACTTGTTATTCTGGTTCGAATTTATTTGAGAATATCAGTTAACTTCTAAGCCAAGTCAGTCCAGTATAGCAATACCGGTTAAGTTTATATTTAAAATAAGTTAAAATAGAACCTTAGACTGGTCCAGTAAATCCAGTTAAATTATCAGTTAGAATTGAGCATCTTAGCATTTATTTTAGTAAGTCTGAGCATATCACTTAGCATTTGTTTATTATATTTTTTTACAGGAGCAGATCAATCAGCATTTACGTTTTCAAACGAGCAGCACAGGTGGGGACCCAGATTGGGTGTTACATTGAGTATAATTACATATATTATGTTCGAGGTATGTATATTCAATTTCCACTTAGGGTGGTGGTCAGATACTGTAAGTCCATCCTAAGTTCTGGTGGTGGCTCAGATAGCCTTAATATTTCCACTAGAGTGTGCACATGGATTCCGGCCTAGCTTTGCCGGCAGATTCAGTATCAGTTTCAGTATCAGTACAGTTTCAGTTTCATATTATATACTGTTGATCATGATATTGTAATTATTATTTTTGTTTACTTTCGTATGGGTTTCTGCGGAGCATAGTGGCTTTTAGTGCTCACGCCCCCACTCCTTTTTCTTTTTCAGATAACAGGGTTGGACCGGAGGTGTGAGCTCAGTTCGGTGGTCGTGGATTCGGCCAAATGCCGTTTTGTGGACTTTGTTATATATATTTTGCCACGTCTTTTATTTCCACTGACACTTACAATTTTTCGAACTTGCATGTCAGTTTTTAGATTTTGGTCCGATTTAGCAGTCGGATCTTTTTCAATATTACATGCCAGTTTGATTAAATGTAATCTGTTTTTCTTTACAGTTATACTTAAATAAAGATAACGGGTTTTTCATAACATAAAAGTTTTAGTAGCATCACGATTTAAAGATTTCGCAAATAAATGAGTTTATAAGTGAAAAGTTTTTGCGAAAAATTTCTCTGATATTAGTAGGAAAGCGGGGTATTACACATACACATAATATATACTTTAATTACACAGTCGAGTTTCAATCGTTTCTCAAAATCGATTTCAAAACTGACATGTACATAAAATACACATAAGATATACACTCGAGATTCTCCAAGATTAGTAATTTTCTGATCGAGTATATTCCATATATTTTCGATGGATGTTTATATAATCAACAATAATGATTTTGCAATCATGTATATTCTGTATTTTTTTATCGTTTATTTTCTATATATGGAGAGTGGAGAGAATCCGTACGTTTGAATTTCAAATTCTACTTTTTTCCTTTTGGTATGGCTGAACTATTCCTAATTTGTCGGTTATATACTTACTCTTCTTTTTCAGAATAAATCATATACATGCGTGATTTTAGGACGTGGAATCTGAATTCCTTTGGTAATGAATTTTTTGCTTCACCACAATTAATTGCAGCGTAATCATGCAAATAAAGTGTCTTCTATCGTATATATGCAATATCTTTAAATTCATGTGGTAAAGAAAAAAATTTCCTTATTTTTAAGGCAAAATTGCGCCTAATATCACCATCTTTATCGAAATTGCAAATTAATCACGACTTTTGGACTTTGGCGCACAATATTATGATCTTCAATTTTTGGCAATACGGTACATGAAATTCCTCAGCTCCCAAAAAAAAATCGGCGTGGCTTAAATTTGCCACCGCGGAGGCTTAGCTGGCGGTCTGCCTCGGAGCAATACTGCGTTGTTTTAATTCTTTTAACCACGTCAGATCAAAACGACGTTGTTTCGATATCTGAGTATTTTTTTCCACCTCAGATCGAGCGACGCCGTTTTGAGAGGTAAATTGCTGATTAAATCCCCAAATCAGTCGATGAACCCTTCTTCAATCTGCAGGAGAAAATTTTTGGGGCTGGATTTTCGTCATCGGAGAAGAAGGAGTAGGCAAAATGTAAACTAAATCCAGCTCATCTAGGAGTACAACATCAAAATTTTCATGTATCCATAGTGAGGCCGAATTGCTGACCTCTAATACCGATCGAAATTCGGATAGGAGGTTCTACAGGTGCAAAAATCGATTGGTAAGCCTATTTTACATGAATCTATGGTAATTGCTTTAAGCCTGTAGATTGTTAAAATTGAGAATTAGGGTTTAATGTCTTATTAGGTTTAATTTTTATGAATTTGGAAACCATGAAGTTGATTGATTATGGAATTAGGGAATTAGGGCTTAGGGTTATGGCTTATTAGGTTTTTCTGAATCTTTCTGATTTTTTCTGCATTTTTCTGAATTAGGGAATTAAGGTTTAATGACTTCAGTATTGCTAGGATATCGAAACGACTTCGTTTTGATCTGACGTGGATAAAAAGAATTAAAACGACGCCGCATTTCTCCAAGGTAAGCCTCCGCGGTGGCAAATTTAAGCCTCCGCGGTGGCTTAAATTTAAGCCACGTCGATTTTTTTTGGGAGCTGAGGAGTTTCATGTAACGTATTGCCAAAAATGGAAGATCATGATATTGTGCGCCAAAGTCCAAAAGTCGTGATTAATTTGCAATTTCGATAAAGGTGGTAATATTAAGCGCAATTTTACCTATTTTTAAACAAATATTTGGAAAAGTTTTTTGAAACGAGTATCGATGCGTCTTTTAGCCAAAAGACTGGATTAACCTAAACTTGGGTCATAATATAGAACCCAACAAATTAGAGTCAATTAATTTGGCGAATTTACATAGTTACCATATTGTTCCCTAAATAATTGTAAAAGTACTAATCAAAAAATTTATTTGCAAAGATACCTGATCTGTCATAAATATATGTATGTACACCAGACTTAGTAACATCATAGATAGAGATAAGATCTGGTAGAAATCTTGTTTCTTCTTCCCGATTCTTATCTCGTTTCTCTCTCTTTTCTCTCTTTATTTTTTTTTTCTTCTTCCCCGATTCTTCTCTCGCTTCTCTTTCCTCTCTTTAATTTTTTTCTTCTTCCCCATTTCTTTTTCTGGTAGAAATCAGTTATTATCTTCGTTTTGAAACTAGTTTATGTATATATATGCAGTATATTTTATGGGTTTTTCCGATCTAATGTGTGTGTGTGTATATATATATATATATATATGGGGTTTATATATGTATACAGAACATATACCGAACGTATACAGAACATATAAAGAAAAATAACACCAGATCCATCCGAACATATGTACCTAACATATACCATTTTATGAGTTTATATATGTTTACCGAACATATACCGAACATATACAGAACATATACAGAAAATAACTCCAATTTTTTGGGTTTATATATGTAAACCGAATATATATCGAACATATACAGAACATATGTATACCGAATATATAACTCTAATTTTTTACCCCGTCCATGCTAACCTTCACGTACATCTTAGCCCGGCCGAAGTTATGTTTCCTCCGGTAAGCCGCCACCAGCGGCCTCCCCACCACTTGATTCTTACTTTCCACCGCCTCTGTCTTTCTCTCCTCCTCCCCGCCGTTGCCACTGGCACTAGAGATATCCGAAAACACTCTCTTCATCTCGTTCCTCTCCACCTCACCGTCGCCGCCTCCGGGAAGCCCTAGCCTCCGCTCCGTTTCAAGTCCCATTAAAATTTTGTGAGATATGAAGAAGAGAGAGAGAGAGAGAGAGAGAGAGAGAGAG